TGTGTGCTTCGTATTAGTTGGGTTGTACTTTGACAGTTTCCTTATAAATATCACAAATGGGTTTTCTATTCAACATGAACAATATTGCTTTTGTTGTAAAATAACTTTAATTCCAGTTATATGACATAACACAATAAAACATCCACTTCCAAATTCCTTAAGAAAATTTTGATACTTTTTTCTGTAACACTAAGATAATATAATTATTTGTTCTGTTCTCATATCTGTTTCATCTGTGTCTTTCAAGAGGCTAAATTCATTGTCTTCAGAATAGTACATATTCTATTCAAGGAAAGAATGTTTTTCATCTGTGACTGAAAGAGTTAAGTCTTTCTTGCCAAGCTCCAGTTAGTTCAACACAGAACTGCCCACCTACAGTTATTCAGATCATACACCTATTTTATTGACAAAATACATTTTATGTTTTATTACTGTTCATCCATCTTTCCTTAGCATTTGAGGTGTTTCATTAAAAAGCTGTATAACTTCAATTTGTTTTTATGTTCACCTTTACCAAAGTAAAAATAAATCATCAAATAACCCAAGTATATTGCATGTATTTGTGAAATGGTACAAACCAATCATATTTTTATGTTGTGTACTATATAATCAATTATTCATCACATCAAATAGCATAATATTGACTTGAAAAGGTAATAGGTTAGGGAGAAAATAGCAAGGAACTCAATTATAAGCAAAAATAGGAAAATTTAATTAAAATTATTAGCATTAAATTGACTAATAATGAATAGACATTAGCTTTGGGTATTTTTCCATACCATTCCTAAAGTAGAGGACAGTCAAGAAGGCTCACACCTTGAGCCCTCATTTCACTCCGACCTCATTCCTCTTGGCCCTTATCTTTCACATTTGTGACTTCAACTACCACCACATACTGATGATTTCCTTATTTGGATTTAACAGTTTTTGTTTGTAACCATTTCTATGATTTCTCTTATATATAACATAAAACTCTCAAAGAGTTGGTGGTTTTCCAATTTTACTAGTCTTCTAGAAGTCCATATTTCAATATCAACTACTAATAGAGTTACTCTATTCTGGGATGTGTATTCTATTCATGACCCTCCTTTCCTTGAGTGCCCCATAAGTAGTCCATTATTTCTCTGTGTCTCTTTTGCCAGCTCAATTAGTGTACATTCTTTGCACATTAAAATGGGTCTCATCATGATGTTCTCTTACATGTAAATCATGCTTGTTTATCTAATTCATTCTCCATTGCTTTAAACTCTGTTTCTTTTCCCAAATAGTATCCCCTGTGCTTTCAAGTCATTTTTTTAACATAGTCTGAAATCTACATACTAGAGAAAATATGTGCTATTTGATTTGGGGGGTGTCTTGCCTTACTTTATTAACCAGATGATCATCATTTGCTAACTTGTAAACTTTCTTTATCCTCCCTCTTAAATTTGAGCATTCATCATATGTCCTAGACTTTCTTAGCTGTCTTCTCACAGCTCACTACTTACACTACTCACTACATCCCATTGAGTGGATACCAGGGTGTTATTGCACACAGCTGGAAAAAGAAGCAGGTTGATGGTATACAGCACAGTCAAGGAGGCCAGAATAATCTCTGTAGGAAAGCAGTCTCCAGGCTGTAAACATCCCGGGTTGTGATCTGGGGAGGGGGCGGGTCAGTAGACGCTTTCTGTACACATTGTCAACATCTACACATGGACACAATGAAGACTGCTATACCTCTGAACTTCACCCGGGGAAGGCTTCGCCACTCCCATGGGCTCAGGCATTAGCGTCCTGGACATGGCTGTGACCATGCTAACACCACACAGTCACTCAGGGCTTCACTCAAGCAGGACTTCTTCGGTTCTCCCTCCTTCTTACTTCTTAGACATTCAGGATGGATATTCAAGCATAATCCAGGGGACGTTTGCTGCAGTGTTCAACGCCAGACTGTACAGATGGGAAGAAGAAAGACTACACTAGGCCCAGCATAAACACTGGGGGAGATTTAGCATGTTAAAGGGATTGAAGTCTTGAGCTCTTCAAGATGTTTTTGTAATATTAGTAGGAGGAACCAATCTAGGATGTGCTAACAGAATTTACCTTCATCCATGCTATCATCACTAAGGGTCCAAACACCAGGAGGTCCAAACACAGCCTACTCAGGTGACCAATCATGTAGTCTTGCTCAGAGCTCCATGGCCAGGAGTCTGTCACCTAAGCTTTGTTTGTATATTGTCAATTGTAATATGATGGAAGTTAAACTGAAAGCAAAAATAGATTTTGTTTGTTTCCCTCAGTCATTTTATGCAATTTGTTTATCTGGTTATTTATCTTCTCAGGTGGACACTCCTCACCTCCATCCCTAGAAACCAAGGGCATGCCTCCCAAACACAGACCAAGAGCCAATGAAACTGCAATGCCTCCACCTTACTTCTGTGGTTTCTCAAAATATCAACTGAAACACAAATATATAACTACTTATCTGTCTTGTTTTTCTGTTGCTGTGAAGAGACACCATGACCAAGGTAAATTACAGAAGAAAGCTTATTGGGGACTTACAGTACAGAGGGTGAGTCCATGACCAATATGGTAGGGAGCATGGCGGCAGGGAGGCAGGTGGGCAGGCACAGGAGCAGTAGCTGGGAGCTCACATCCCATCCCATAAGCAGGAGACAGAGAGATACACTGGGAATGAACTTTTGAAACCTCAATGATCACCCCCAGTGACACACTTCCTCCAACATCAGCACACTTCCTAATCCTTGTCAAACAGTTCCACCAACTGGGGACCAAGGATTTAAATATATGAGCCCATGGCGGCCGTTCTCATTCAGACCACCATAAAAATCCATTTCTTATCTCCCAAATCCTAACATAACTGCCTTTATCTAGATTCTACCTGTCCCATGTTTTACAGCCCATGAACTCCTCTATCCTTTGTTCTTTTACTCTTCTTTTTTTCCTTCTTGTTGTATTTCGAGTATTTAAATGATGCCTTGTATCTTAACCTTCATGGAGAAAGCACTGTACATGCTGGGTTTTTTTTTAATATAACAAGTTTTCCCGTGAGATCTCCAAAGCTTGGAGATCTGTGACTTCTAATAATTTTTAATAGGATGAAAAAAGCTACTACAACAAATGGAAAGAAAATAACAGGCTGTCATACCAAGAAGTAGTAGTAACTAATAAAATTGAAATATATACTTTGAATAGAAAGTAAAGGAAGGAATGATCACATAAAATCTGTACTCTTAGGTCCTTAGGCATTGTATCTCTAGTTTAATAAACACCACATTTTAATATACCTATTTATAATCAAGAGAAATTACAATAAAAACGGCCACTACTATAAATAAATACCTGTGTTGAATCCTTATTCTATCAGTTGCTAGTACTGTAGCCTCAGGTTCCACAGTTGCACTATATGAGTAAAGATAAATAACTGAGATAATGCATTGGGGTTTAGAGCAAAATCTGGTACAAAGAGAGATCATCAGATTACTGTCTCCTACCTGCCTTACGGGCCTACTTTGATAAATGGCATTAGACAAATAGCCTCATGGAGTTTTGTAAACTGCACGAGGTCAGACCCTAAATAAAATGCTTAAGATTTCCACTAATTGCCTACTTTTTCCAAAACAAAAGTGTTTAAATACATCAATTTTGAACTATATTTTTCCTTAGCATCAACGGTTAGCTAGCAGGCACGCCTTTACTAAAGACCTTCTATTACCAAAGGACCAGTTAAGGATTAACAAAAATAGAGAAGGCTCCCTAGGAGTAAATGTCCTCTTTTTTTTTTTTTTCTTTTCTCCATCGAGGAAGAATATTGTTAGATACAGAAGGAGAGTGTCTTTGTGTATGTAACTACTAAATGGCCTGGGAAACCCCAAACTGCTGCTGGGCCACAGGACACAGAAGCTCAAAGCTGGTGGCTGCTTAATTTGTCCTGTGAATCTTCCCCTGAGATCTGCACCCTCCTGGCCAGAGTGATCACTGCACCTGTTTTTCTTGTGTGTGTGTGTTGAATGCCTGTTATGCATATTGCTTCTGTCTCCACTCAGGACAGAAGTTGCAGAATGACAAAGAGAAAGTGCTAGGCAGTTTTGGCACTGAGAAATCTGGCTTCAGGTGCAGCTATGAGATGCCCACTTGAGACCAGGAAGGAGGGCAGCTTGGCTGCTGCGTGTGGTGTGCCCTACCTTGTGTCTCTGCCACAAGCTAACTAACAAAGCAGGACACCTGGCCAGCTCTCAGATGTTTGTTCAGTGTCTGTCCACCCGATACACCCTGTTTTGGGTCAATCCTATTTCAACCTAGGAAACAACTGAGCTGTGTTTGTGCTGAATTAGAGTCTCATTTTGCAAATATAAATTTTAACTTGCTTATGGGTTTGCAAGAAACAGCAAGGATGTATACCAGTTTAAAAGACCCCTCCCCCCCATTTTTTCCATTTCATGCATGTGCTGTGACGTTTACAATGTGGACTTTTCCACAGCCGTGTCCCAACGCAGCGGAGAAAGGCAAGATACTTTTTTTTTTCTAAGTCTCTTGGTAAGAATACTTCGAAGTAAAGGGCAGGGACCCACTTTTCAGAACTCGGGTTTCCTGAAGGGCATCAGAATCGGGTCCCAGCAACTCCGGGACCTCTCTCCCTCCCCTCTTCCTGGGCGTTCCCTGCCCCTATCCCACTACCACCTCCACAGTTCGCCTGCAGCAAGACAGACTTTCGGTGGTGGTCGGGGATCTTCTGGGCTCTGCATCTCTCGCCCCTTTGCAAACTGCGCGCTCTGGGGCACCAGGCACCGGCGGTGGTGGTGGCGGCGGCGGCGGCGCGCGCGCGCGCACGCTCACTCCGCGGCCCCGCGGCCGCTCCTCGACATTCCTTTCCACGTGTTGCTTTGGAGGCGCCACAGGTTCCTCACCTGCGCGGGCTGCGGGGGGTCGGCGGCGGGGCTTAGGGGGCGCACGCGGGCTGGCGGACCTAGGCTGGGCGAGCGGTCCCTGGGCGCCCCGAGCGCCCCCGCGCTAACTCCGCCTCTCGCCTCCCCGCCGCTCCGCTCGCCCGCCCCGCGTCCTGGCCGCGGCAAACACTCGAGCGCCGAACTCGACGTGTCCGGGAAGCCCGGGCCACTTTCCCTTTCGTTCTGCGGCCGCCGCGAGCGGACCCAGACTCCCGCGGACTCGCGGGGACAGCTGCGCTCTCGGCCAGGAGCCCAGGGGACCGCGGGCCGAGCCCAGGGGCCCCAGGCAGCACCATGCTCGACCCGTCTTCCAGCGAGGAGGAGTCGGACGAGGGGCTGGAGGAGGAGAGCCGCGAGGTGCTGGTGGCGCCGGGTGGCTCCCAGCGAGCGCCGCCGGCTGCGGTTCGGGAAGGGCGGCGGGACGCACCGGGGCGCTCCGGAGGTGGCGGTGGCGGCGGAGCGGCTAGACCCGTGAGCCCGAGCCCCTCGGTACTCAGCGAGGGGCGAGACGAGCCCGAGCGGCAGCTGGACGAGGAGCAAGAGCGGCGCATCCGCCTTCAGCTCTACGTCTTCGTGGTGAGGTGCATCGCGTACCCGTTCAATGCCAAGCAGCCCACCGACATGGCCCGGAGGCAGCAGAAGGTGAGTGGCGGGACATGGAGCCTCCTGCGGCCACTTATTCCCCCCGTACTTTCTCCTGAGAGTGCTCTGGGGGCACCCGCCACCACCCTTATGCTAGGGGACTGGACACTATTTTAGGCAGGCTTTGAGGGGTGTCTAGGGCAGGTTGGAGCGCTTGGGTCTTTAACCTCGGTCGGAGCTGGTCAGAGCTGGCCTGAGCTGGCGGGAGCTGTCAGCTTCACCTCACCATCCGCAAGACGTGGACCAAACAGCTGACCCCACCTTGCAGGCCCTGCATTAATTGCACCTGGGCAGGTTACCCTTGGGACAGGGTTAGCATGCAACTCCCAACAACTTTCATTTGGGCTGCTGTGGGGTGGGTGTGTGGAGCTGGGCTTCGCGGGTAGGACAGAGTGAGAGCGTGTAGCTTAGCTAGCTAGGCAAAGCAGGGTGGAACACAGACACTTTTCCAGTACAGAGAAATCTCTACTCAGGCAAAGGACTAGACATATTCTTTGGCGAATTAAAAGCAAAGTTGCATTGCTTAGTTTCCCGTGCTGCCAGAAAAGCAGGGCATAGCATTCAGACACTGAGGGAGATATGCCCCCAGAGTGACAATGGGCAAGTAATTCCAGACCGTGGCAGGCTTACTGAAGTCCACTGGTGACTGGCGAAGGACTGTTGCAAGGGATTCACGTATGGTTCCTTCTCCAAAAAATTTAAGGAAGTTCTGTCAGATGAAATGTCTCCCATGGTTAGTTTTGAAACAGGACCCCAGGGATCTGATGGCCTGTACCATACACAGAGGGGATAAATGCATGCAATAGAAACTGTCCAGGAAGCCTTTACGTGGAATGCTGAGTCCGGAAGGTTCAGAAGAAAACTGTAACACTCCCCTTAGCTTGTGATGGGGCATGGGGTCCCAGGGAGACCAGAACTCATACCTACATGTACAGTCCTTTATTACTTTCCTGGAATAGCAGCTTCTGCATGTGAGACCTTTCTCTAAGAACCTTTTGAATGGACTTTTAAAACTGCAGCTCAGAGGAAGCAGTCCCTTCCCACCACGCCCTGTCCACAACCCTCCTGTTCCCATTTGTCCAATCTTGTTGTTTTTCTTGAATTGAAGTCTGTTTGCCATGTTAAGAGCTGTGCATAGATAGTTACTGCATGCAATTCATTGAGTTTGGGATATCTGGACAACTATGATTTGCCTGGGGTTAACTATACTTAGTTATTACATATTTAAAAATTTCCAAGAGGATAGATCTTACGTGTACTTTCCAGCTTTGAAAGTCAGAACCAGATGAAGTGTTCGGGAACTGTCATTGTCTTGAGTGCTGTTGGCGCATTCCCACACTGCTGAAGGCCATTCACAGGGGCCCATCAGGTAGCCCAACACTCTAGGAGTTCACCCAGCATTGGACTGATAGAGATCTAACCAGTTCTAGGCTGTCTCCTCACACGAAGGGAGAAGTAGGTCAGAGTAGCATTTTCTAGCACCAAGCCAGTTGGCATGATTAGAGCTGCCGTTCCTCAGGTGAAGAGTGAATGCCTTGCAGAGTGTGGCGAGCCGGCTGTTCCGCTCCACATGAGGCCTCCACATGAGGCCTTATACCCTCACCGGCTCCACATGAGACTGTATACCCTCACGGGCTGCTTGTGTTGAGTCTGTGTCATCCGTGTAGGTTCTGCAAGTGCCAACCTAACATAGTCACTCTTAAACTAAGCGTGGGTTTGTATTTATGTTGTTATAGGAGTCCACACCAAGTGTATGAGCACCGTGCAGTGTCTGGTTTCACCTCTCACGTCACATTTAGTCCAGCTTTAATGTGTTAATATGCACAAATTATTATCTGGTAAAAATCAAGAGGTTGTTTGTATTTGGGTAGTTTCCTTTAGAGTCCTTTTGAGAAAAGTCATTTACTGGCTCATTTCTACTGTGAATACTTGTTGCAGTTTGTTAAGGAAGGGGACTCTCCCTTGGTTGTTCAAATAATGCAGCTCTCCTGGCTCTTCCTGTTTAAATAGACTGTTTCTCTAGCAATTATTTGAATTGGCAAACAGGTGTACTCACAATGCTACTGAGGAGACTGTTGATGTAATGTTACTCAGACATTACTGAAATAAACCCAACTTCACGGAAGGAGAAAAGCACTGCATACATTCTGTGTACAATTATTTGGAATGCTTACACTTTTTGTTTTTACATATTGAGAGCCTCAGGCATAATCTGATGAACTTTAGTGATTTATATTTTAATGGGGAGGTTCTATAACAAACATCCTAAGCATTTATCTTATTTAGAAGGTCAGTCATTTTTCTTTTTCTTTTTTTTTAAGACATGCTGCTTGCTAAAGGGAGCTGGAGCAATTCTTGGCAGTCAGGTTTCCTCCTAGGAAGAAATAAAATGGGAATTTAACTGTGTTCATGTGAATTTGATGCACAAGCCAACAATTAATGCCAAAACTTACTTTAAGTGTTGAATTATACAGTTGGGTTTTATAAAAGAAGTAGCATGGTTGCACAGTCACTAATCCATTGTATACTCTTACTCTGTGTCTTTGTAGTCAGACAGGCAGTAAAATGATTTCTTTTACTGCTTTCTCACTTCTCCCAACATTAAGAACTTAGAGGATCAGAAATTGGTGTCTAAAAGGGTCCTCATTCTGTAACTGAAGAAAATGAGCCACAGAGATGAGAACCTTACCCTGGAGGCCACGATTCAGGTTTGTAGTCAAAGTCTCTCACTGGTAAGGCTGTTTGGCTTTGATGAACCAGAGCTGGGCACAGGGTTTGTTTGGTTGTCCCCTTTTTTTCACTTGGCTAAAATGTCCCACAGAACCAGTAAGAGGTTGTGTGCTTCATCTATTTGAGGATGTTGAATAGTGAAAATATGTATGCTGTGGTTTTGACTGGCACACTTCAACGCAGAGGAGTAACAGCTGAGGCCTTTCAGGCCTTGCAATGACTATTGGTGCCTTGACAGAAAATCCTGGGAGTAAATTTGGGTTAGGCTCTGTGACAGAGCACTGTACCAGGTGGTCCCATCGCCTCAGTGTGGTGAAGAACAGCCATCATAGAAGGGTTTCAGCAGTAAACACTGCTTGACACCCCCTCATGTTCATTGATTTGATTGTATGTGTTCCATTATAGAACGGCCAACAGTCATGACCATTGGGTAGTTCAAGATGATTGAAGGAGGGATCATTAGTATTGCTAGAAAAACAGTAAACAAAACAAACGGACAAAAGACAACCCACAAGTAAATCACATATTATACTAAGGCCTTTACCTGTCAGACGTTTAGAACATGTTGAGAACCTAGAGGGAAAAGTAACAAGTGGGGTCCTAGTGGTCAGAAGCTGGGGAAACTGACAGTGTTTACAGATGTGTTTCTGCTGAAGGTCTGTATTCGTAACTGTCCACAGTGAGCATGGCTTAAAGATCCGGTGCTTTGGATTCAGGAGGAGCTGGAAGTTGGGACCCAGCCGTTTCTCTTGTTAGTTTTGTTTTTCTTACTGACTCTGACATGTTGACTCTGACAGCCAACTCTTGTTTTCACTAGAAATAAGGCAAGGGGATTTAAGAGATGAAAGTTACACCTAATTGCTTTCTGCACGACTCCTATGCCTGTGCCCTTGCATTTCTGTTTGCATTGCCATTGAAATGACGCACAATGCAACTTATGAAATGAACAATGCGTTTTATGAAATAAGACATTTTGTACAACCGTTTCTCATCGTTTTGCATAATCCTTGATGGTTCTAAGTTTGAGAAATTCATATAAATAAGCTGCAGATTTTCTTAGGTAAAACTGATTTGGATGAGGTAATATGCAATGGACAGTTGCCTGGCCTGTCTTATATTTGAAATTTGTAGTTTGGGGAAAAGGGAAAACATCCATAATCTGATAACCCAGAAGCCTAAATGCTCAGAAATCTTAAACGTTTTTAGTGCCTACAGATGAATCCTTTCATATCTTGTTTCATTTGACAAGTCATAGCTACAAACTAAAAAAAGTTGTCAGCCATTGCTATTGGGCTATGTGTATAAGTTGAGCAGAAAACAGGAATACATTTTGTATTTACTCTTGAGCCCCATCCCCAAGATAGGATGCAATATGTATGCAAATTTTCCAAAATCCCAAATCTGAAATACTTTTAGCTCTACTCTGTTCAGATAGGCATATTCAACCTATGCAAAAATGACCACTTTCATCTCCCTTGCAAACAGTCCTTTCTGTTTTATTTATTTATTTTTAGGCTTCAGATAACAGGCTCAGGAGAGGCAGCTTTGTTAGAAATAAATAATAGGTTTGCAAGTGCCAAGAGGGCATCTTTCTTTTGCTTAGCACCGTGTTGCCTGAGTGATGTGTTGTCTTACTTTTGGGGCCTGGTACTTATATAAGTATACTGTATACTTAGCATACATACATGTTGCCTGGCATATAGAATCTAGTAAATGTTGGGTATGTGCAGGTCTCACATTTAGTTTATACCTCAAAGACTTAGTGAGGTCTAGAATGGAGGAAAGATACTCTAAAAGGAAAGCATAAAGATCTTGTAGTTTTCCATAGAGCAGGTACCTTAAACATGTTTTGGGACCTGTAAGTGTCCTGGAACAAAGCTCTGAGAACAGGAATCTCTGTTGACACAGAACCAGTGACTTCAAAGAAACCTTCTCAATGCCATTATCAAACCCGGGGGACAAGAGAGCGGTGGCGAACCCCGGCAATCTGGCTTGCTCTTTTGCCTGCAGTTTCCAGCAGACCTGGTGCTATTGTAAAAGAGCCCTCAATATTCCTCCTTTGTGCTCCTTTGGCTTTAGTACAGTGTTGGACAAATACCAAAGGAACGGGTTACACTGTTTGCTGCTTTTAATAACAGGGAGTGCCTTGTCCTCTAGGGATCCAGTTGGAAACCACACATTAAAGAAAAACCTCAGGCTGGACTTGAAATGGTATCTCAGAGAAGAATGCTTATTTCTTCAGCTGATTCATCCAACCCTCCACAGGGTGT